CTATACTTCTGGTGTTCTTTCCCAACTGAAATGATCTCTACTCTTTTTTTTTTTTTTTTTTTACCAATTTAAATCTAAATCAGCCTTTAAGGCTGTTTAAATGCCTATTTCTGCCTTGATTTTCCTATATCGACATGAATCATTTCATACTCTACATTTCACTAACATTTTGTAACTCCACTATTAAAACAAGGTAAGATAGAAGAATGGAAAACAGTACATATTTTGAGGTGAGACACTCCTGTGTTCAAAACCCAACCTTGCCTCATATTAGCCACATGACCTTGGACATTACTTAACCTATCTGTGCTTCAATTTCCTCATCTGTAAAATAAGAATACTACTACCTACATCACAGGATGATCATGAAGATCAAATAAAGTACAATGGGCACATACGAATCCTTAGTAATGTTAGTTTCCTTTCTAAATGTCAGCCTGCTTTATATTCATGTTTACATGTCTGTCTGCCCCACTAAACTACAAATTGGTTGAAAGCAATACTACATATGGTTCCCGAAAAGGTGGTATAAAGTAGGGCCAAAAGAAGTTCCATAAAAAACTGTTATACAGGGCCGGCCCGGTGGCGCACTGAATAGTGCGCCGCTTGGGAAGCGCGGCGGCGCTCCCGCCCGAGGGTTCGGATCCCACATACAGACCGGTTCCCGCTCACTGGCTGAGCGAGGCGCGGGAGCAACACTGAGGGTTGCGATCCGTTGCCGGACATGGAAAAAGACAAAAGACAAAAAAAAAAAAAACTGTTATACAGTTATCTTAGAATACGGTTAACAAATTAGAAACTACTTTACTAATAAAAATTTCTAGAAAATTGGTAACATCTTAATAGCTCCTTAGGAATCTTTACACCAATAATTTTGTTACATCAACTTTAGTTGTCTGAAAAGACTTTGTATAATTGTTTAAAAGTAACTTTCTCTGCACCTATTAAAATGATCATATGGTTTTTTTTCCTTCGTTCTGTGGATGTGATGTATCGCATTTACTGATTTGCGTATGCTGAACCATCCTTGCATCCGTGGGATGAATCCCACTTGATCATGGTGAATGATCTTTTTAATGTGTTGTTGGATTCTGTTTGCTAGTATTTTATTGAGGGTCTCTGCATCTGTGTTCATTAGGAATACTGGTCTGTAATTTTCTTTTTTTGTTGTGTCTATTTCTGGTTTTGGTATGAGGTTAATGTTAGCACTGTAGAATGAGGTTGGAAATATTTACTCCTCTTCAATTTTCTGAGAAGAATTGGTATTAGTTCTTTAAATGTTTGGGAGAATTCAGCAGTGAAGGCACTTGGTCCTGGGATTTTCTGTTTTGGGAGACTTCTTTTTTTTTTTTTTGGTAGCTGGCCAGTATGGGAATCCAAATCCTTGACCTTGTTGTTACAAGGCAGCACTCTAACCAACTGAACTAACTGGCCAGCCCTGTTGGGAAACTTCTCATTACTGCTTCAATCTCATTGTTTGTTATTGGTCTGTTTAGGTTTACTAATTCTTCCTGTTACAGCCTTGGTAAGTTGTATGTGCCCAGAAATTTATCCATTTCTTCTAGGTTTTCCAGTTTGTTCCATATAGTTGTTCGTAGTAGTCTCTTATGATCTCTTATTTCTGTGGTATCAGTTGTAATGTCTCCTTTTTCATTTCTAGTTTTATTTGAGTCTTCTCTCATTTTTCTTCATTAGTCTAGCTAAAGGTTTATCGATTTTGTTTAATTTTTCAAAAAACCAACTTGTTGTTTCATCTAACTTTTGCATTTTTTTTAAAAATTCTAATTCACTTATTTCTGCTCTGATCTTTGTTATTTTTCTCCTTTTACTGATTTTGGGTTTAGTTCATTCTTGTTTACTTCCAGCTCCTTAAGGTGTAACATTACGCTAAGTCTTCCTTCTTTTTTGATGTAGGCATTTATTGCTATAAGCTTCCCTCTTAGGATTGCTTTTGCTGTTTCAATCGATGCAGAAAAAGCATTTGGCAAAATCCAACACACCTTCATGATAAAAGCACTCAACGAATTGGGCACAGAAGGACTGTACCTCAACACAATAAAAGCCATATATAACAAACCCACTATCATATTGAATAGACAAAAATTAGAGGCTTTTTCTCTAAGATCTGGAACAAGACAAGGATGCCAACTTTCCCCACTCTTATTCAACATAGTGCTGGAAGTTCTAGCCGGCACAATAAGGCAGGAGAAAGCAATAAAGGGCATCCAAATTGCAAAGGAAAAAGTCAAACTATCCCTACTTACAGATGATCCTATACACAGAAAATCCTAAAGGCTCCACCAAAAAATTACTAGTACTAATAAATAAATTCAGTAAAGTATCAGGATACAAAATCACAAACACACAAAAATCAATAGCCTTCCTATACGCCAATAATGAAATAGGTGAAGATGAAATCAAGAAAGTAATACCACTCACAATATCTTCCAAAAAAATGAAATACCTAGGAGTAAATTTAACCAAGGACATTCAACATTGGGTTGAAATGTCCCCCCAAAACTTAATCCCCACTGTAACTGCTGAGGGTGGGAAATCCTATTATAGTAATTAAAAAGTGGGGTCTAAAGAGGTGATTAGATTGTAGGACATGCCATAGTGAATGGATTAATAATGTTGGTCAGGGGTGTGGTTCTGAGGGCTTTAAAAAGAGAGTGCATGAGGAACTATCTCTCACTCTTTCTGCTTCTACCATCTTGCCATGTGAGACCCCTGGGACCCTGTCGCCACCACCAAGACCCTCACCAGATGTGTTCCTTGGACTTTGGACTTCCCACCTTCAGAAACCGTAAGCAATAAATTTTGTTTCTTTTATAAATTACCCAATTTCAAGTATTTTATTATAAGCAACAGAAACAGACTAATACAGACCTCCACAATGAATACTATAAAACTTGTGAAAAAATTGAAGAGGACACACAAAAACAGAAAGATATCCCATGTTCTTGGGTTGGAAGAACTAACATTATCAAAATGTTCATCTTACCCAAAGCAATCTACACAGTCAACGCAATCCCTATCAGAATACCAATGACATTCTCCACAGAAATAGAAAAAACAATCTTAAAATTTGTATGGAACCAAAAAAGACCCCATATAATTGAAGCAATCTTGAAGAAAAAGAACAAAGTTGGAGGCATCGCACTTCCTTACTTCAAAATATTCTATAAAGCTACAGTAACCAAAATAGCATGTACTGGCATAAAAAGAGACAAATACACCAATGAAACAGTTACAAAGAGCCCAGAAACAAACCCACGCACTTACAGCCTTTGATTTTTGACAAAGGTGCCAAGAACATACAGTGGGGAAAGGACTCTTCAATAAATGGTGCTGGGAAAACTGGACATGCACACGCAGAAGACTGAAACTAGATCCTTATTTCTGACCACACACAAAAATCAACTCAAAATGGGTTAAAGACCTAAATTTAAGACCCGAAACTATTAAATTACTAGAAGAAAATATGGGAGAAATGCTACACAAAACAGGAGTGGGCAGCACTTTTTTGAGTGAGACTACAAAGGGGCAGACAACTAAAGCAAAAAAACACAATGGGACTACATCAAACTGAAAAACTTCTGCACATCAAGGGACACTATCAACGAAGTGAAGAGACAACCTACAGAGTGGGAGAAAATGTTTGGAAAGTACACATAAGGGGCTAATATGGAGAATATATAAGGAACTCAAACAACGCAACAGCAAAAACACAAACAACCCAATTAAAAAATGGGCAAAGGACCTGAATAGACATTTCTCAAAAGAAGACATACAAATGGCCAACAAGCACATGAAAAAATGTCATCAGGGAAATCATCAGGAAAATGCAAATTAAAATCACAATGAGCTATCATCCCACCCCAGTCAGAGTGGCTATTATCAATAAAACAGAAAATAACAAAGGCTGGTGAGGATGTGGAGAAAAAGGAACTCACCCCACATTGTTGGTAGGAATGTAAATTTGTACATCCTTGCGGAAAACAATATGGAGGTTCCTCAGAGAACTAAAACAGATCTACCTTATGATCCAGCTATCCCACTTCTGGTTATATACCCAAACGAAGTGAAATCAATATATTGAAAAAACACCTGCACTACCATGTTTATCACACTATTCACAATAGCCAAAAGATGGAATCAACCTAAATGCCCATCAGCGAATGAATGGATTAAAAAACTGTGGTATATATACACAATGGAATACTATTCAGCTGTAAAAAGAAATGATATCCTATCATTTGCAGCAATATGGATGAACTGGAAACCATCATGTTAAGTGAACTAAGTCAGACACAGAAAGACAAATACCACATGATCTCACACATATGTAGAATCTTAAAAAAAAAAAATTAAAAAGTGATTCTCATAGAAGTAGATAGTAGAATAATGGTTACCAGAGGCCAGGAGGGGAGGGGAATGGGGGAAAGGAGAAGTGTTGGACTAATGGGTACAAAACTATGATATCTACCCTAAGTGAATCATTGTGCAGTACATGCATGTATTTAAACAACACACTGTCATTTGCATGTATTGAAACAACACACTGTAACCCCCCAAACATGTACAGGTAAATATTACAATTTAAAAAAATTTAAAAACTTGAAAAAAATTACACTGCTAGGATATACTGAATATCATGCTGAAATTTCAATCATCAAGGATAAAATGTAAATATGAAAGCTACTAGGGAGAAATTATAGATTACCTACAATGTAATGAAACTAGATTGAACACAGGCTTATCAACAGCAATAAAAAAAAAGTAACTGAAGTTCAAAGCTTCTGAAAAAAAATTTGTAGGTTATAAAGAAAAAATCAGGAGCTTTTTATCTTTAAACATTCCTTTCGATAACTCTGTAAATTATATTCTAAAAACACTGTATTGACAAAAAGCAAAAGTAAACACATCAAACTCACAAGTTCAATTTTTAAAAATTTTATATTTCCAACAATGCAGAAGTAAAACATAGGTTCCCTTACCTCATCATCATCATCAGAATCATTTCCAAACACTGACGGTTTTTGCAAAACTGGTTGCAACTGCTGTGTTTTCTTTGGCAAAATAAGGCCATACCTGTATTTTTTTATTTTTGAAATAGAAATCACACCATTATCTTTAAATGTTAGAAAATAATACATCCACAACCTCTTCTAGGTGAAAACACCAAATCAAAACATGTCATACAGCCTATGAACACATAACAGACTGTAATTTTCAGTGATCACAAAATTCTAATATGCAATAAAATTTTATAATTATCACTCTGAATTATTATTTGTGGACACAGGTCAAACTCAAATACCATTTTTATCAAGAAAGAGAAGTAAATGAAGAGTTCAGAAATGTTTTAGATGGAGACGTGATAGTATGTTTTTTAAAAAAAGACATGTTAGTGGGAAGCTCACTTCATGACTGCTTACGATGAAACGCTTTAAATTATCCCGGTGTTCTAACAAGAGTGAAGAAAACGGCCAGATTGTCTCTCTGTGTACTTACACAGTTTTAAAGAAGTTATCGGATAATGTAGCCCACGAAAACTTTTAAAAAGATTAAATTAACTGAGAAACCCAAGTACCCATGAGGAAAGTTCCCATTACACTTTATTAAGCTCGCTTGCTTTGTCGTGGAGCATCTGAGAGAACCATTTCATCAGATCCCACTCATTTAGTTCCTCGTGCTCTGGCGTTTAGGATGCAGAAATCACGAGAAGCCGCATCAATAGTAAGGACTACGCATCGAAGATAAAACTTCCAGGTACGTACAACATTTGTCTCTTTTGCGGCAACGTATACCCCAGCTCCCTATATATGCCTACCCTCTTCTGTGGCTTCTCAGCACAACATTCCTAAAACGAGAAGGGAGGGCGGGAATCAGACTTGAGCTTCTGCCAAGGAGAACAAGGCCCTTCTAAGGAAGCCAGATTTGTCTCTCTTCTTATTGCCCCTGAGAGCATCCAACCGGGGAGAAACTCAAGCGCGGGGTAGGAAGCAAGACTGAGGGGCCTCAGACCGAGCTTTTGGAAAATAGAAAAGTCTCGCTCTCTGCCCCTCAGCCTAACTTCCTTTATTTCCTCACAAGTTTCTCCCTGAAACTTCGGGCTTCCATCCTGGAAAATGTACGGGGGAGGGGAATATATGTCCCTCAGGTTTTCTCGTTTTTTCCCGTCTCTATCCCTGACGAGACAGCCCCTTCACTTCCAGCGCACTTTAATTCCTCCACCAAAGACACAGACGCCGTGGTTCCTCATTCCCCAGCCTGACCCTAACTCCCGGATCACTCACTGCCTGCCCGGAATCGCCATCTTGCCCCGGTCTCCGCTGAACGTGGCCGACGTTGACGTGACGCCAACGACGGCGCCTTCACGTATATTCTCGCGCGACTTGGAACCGGCCGAAGCACGCTTAGCGGTTGGATCCCTCTTTTGAGTTACTTCCGTACTATTGGGGACCGGGTCCTTCGACCTCTTTTCTGTTTTGGAGCAGAACGGCTTTCTCGAAATCAGTGGGAAGAAAGGAATGGCAGAATTCTAAGCCAGTGATTGGCAAAATGAGGCGCTGCGATCTGTAGCGTCAGCATCACCTGAGATTTGCAAATAGAATTGGAAATTCTCTGGCCCCATCCCAAACCCACTGAATCAGAAACAATGGGGTGGGGCCGAGCGATCTGAATTTTACCGAGCCCTCCGGGTAATTCTCATACTCAAATTTGAAAATCACTAGGCCGGGACATCGATTTTTTTTTCCCCTCTGAGGTGTTCAGTGTGAGTATAACTGGCCCAGGGTAATTAGGCAGATGGTGGAAGTCTCATATAGTACCTCAAATAGGACCGAAATTATTAATAACAATACGGTTCCTGTTGCCACCGGGTATAGGAATCAAAGTCATATAAGATACTTTTCTCTTTTTTTTTTGACCTGGCCACATTCTGTCTGTACACACACGCGCTCTTAGCCCATTGCAAGCTGGCTTAAAGCAGCCCAAGAGATCTTTTGAATTACTGAGAGAAGGATGTTGAAATCTCCAACTATAATTGTGAATTTGTGTTTCTCCTTTCAATTCTGTCAATTTTTGTTTCATATATTTTGAAGTTAGGTATATAAACATTTAGAGCTGTTATGGTCTCTTGCATTAACAAGAAAGTGACCCTCTTCCTTTGTTCCTCTTTGTCTACTTTGATATTAATATAGCTAGCTTTCTTTTGATTAATGTTAGCAATAGTATATCTTTTTTCATCCTTTTACTTTCAACCCTTTTTAATCTATATGTGTTATATTTAAGTTGTATCTCTCATTGACAGCATATATTGGGTCTTGGTTTTTTTTATCCAGTATGACAATCTCTTAATTTGGGAGTTTTAAAACATTTTCATTAAAATGATTATAAGTATGTTTGCTTTTTTTTCCCTATTTTTCCCATTTGTTCTTTTTGCTCTTCCTCACTCTTCCCCCCTCCTTTTTATTTTATTTTATTTTTTTGCTATCTTTTGGATTAACAGAAATTTTTATGATGCATCTTATGATTTTTTAATTTAACCTTCTTTGTTGGCTTATTCTGTTTTGCTTGTTATTTTTTTAAGGTGTTGCTTTAGGGTTTCTAATGTACATCTTTAACTTATCACAGTCTACCTTCATGTAAGAATATGCCCCTTTAAGTACAGTATTAGAAGCTTGCAAAAGTATATTTCCATTTTTCCTCTCCTAGATTTGTGCTATTGCCACAAATTTTACTTTTACCTATGTTATAAATACACAATAAGTTGTTATTAATTTGCTTTAAACAGTTAAAGTGTGCAACTCAAGGGTGTTTAGTATACTCAAAGAATTGTACTACCATCACCGCAATCATTTTTAGAATATTTTCAATACCCAAAAAAGAAACCATGTACCTATTAGTCACTCCCATTTTTCTCTAAACCCGCCAACTCTAGGCAACCACTAATCTACCTTTTGTCTCTGTGGACTTGCTTCTTTTGTTGTTGTTTTTTGTTTTGGGGGGTCTTGGGGGGCAGCTGGCTGGTATGGGGATCCTAACCCTTGACCTAGGTGTTATAACACCTCACTGTAACCAACTGAGCTAACTGGCCAGCCATGCTTCATGTATTTTGAAGCTTCATTATTAGGTGTATAAATGTTTACGGTTATCATGTCTTCTTAATTAATTGACCCCTTTTTCATTATGAAATAAACTTCTTTATCATGATAATATCTGTGCTCTGAAATCTACTTGTGTGATATCATTATAGCTTCTCCAGTTTTCTTTTAACATTAACTCCAGAGAAAGCAAAATGATGTACAGGAATGGAAAATAATTGTAATTTACTACGTGGCTAAGCCCTAAATACCGTATATAATCACGATCATGTAAATGCTGAATATTGATCTAGTCTAACTTAAATTACCATGTAATAATATTAGGAAGAATGGAGGAATGAAAGTGTGTGTGTGTGTACACTGAGGAAGGAGCTAAATCTTTGTATTGCATACTGGGAGGTTAACAGATATTACCTAAATCAGGAAAAAAAAAAAAAGTAGTCACACAAGCATTTTATTTAGCAATATGGAAATAAATGTCAAAACTACAGCCAAAACAGGGGTTGGCAAACCTTTTCTATGAACACTCAGTAAATATTTCAGGACTTTTTGGCCATATGGTCTCTGTGGCAACTACTCAACTGTGCCATTGTAGTATGAAGCAGCCATAGACAATATGGGCATGGCTCTTCCAATAAAACTTTGTTTACCATAATATGCAGCTGGCCAGATTTGGCCCATGGTTGTTTACCAACTCCTGAACTAAAAGAATTCAAAGTAGTTGGAACTCAGAAGCAAGGAAAATAGGGGTGAGGCGTGGCTTGGAAATGCTCTGGTCTCAACAGACCTTGCATAACAGGATGACTCTTTAAACTATGAGTATGTGTTAGTTTGTAAGAGAAAAAGAATCAATAACAAATAAAAATAAAGCCCCTGCCAGGGCTGTCTGCCTCTTGCTTGAAGACACTAAATGGGGAATTAGTTACACAAAGTTACCCAGTGGAGAGCTCAATATTCTAGATAATGTGAGTTTTTGAATTGGTGTATTGAATTCTGTATTTTCCCATTGCCTTTGGGACATTGTAATGAGGCAGTCATAAGATTTTCTCAAAGCTTAGGTTGATTTCTCAGACACAGTGTTGCAGAGAGTTCTTCAATTATTTGGCAGTTTGTAGCAATGGTGGTAACTGCAACGGTGAATCAAATATACAGAGAAGCTTTCCAACATTTTGGAACCCAAGCTTGGGAAATCTAACTGGTAATACCATAAAGGACAGAAGCAGGGTAAACCAATAAATATATTGTCACTGTCTTACTCTTGATTGTTATACAACAAAGAATTCCAACTATCTTAGATTTCCAAAAACAGGATTTCCAGAACAGAACAGAAGAGTAGACTGGAATTGGACTCAAGGCAACTGTGGGAACCTCAGCACCCAAACTCATGGATCTTCCATTTAATCTTTTGACATTAATGTTACTAGTGTTAACTTTACTACTTTCAATCTCAGCTTCTCTTTGTGCCCATTCTTTTCCCCAACCATCTACTCACTTTCTACACATTTTCTCTCCCTACAATTTCTGCAAACTTGTCATGTCTGGAAGACAGTATGCTTCAACTTCTGTGAGGCCTGTCATGACACCTTTGGCCTCTCTAAACACTTAATATCCTTTAGACACTGCTCCTATTGCTCTTTCCCTTTTGGTTTGTCCATGGTTTGGGTACCTTTTATATTAGACTACTTTACAAATTGGTCTCACTTTTTTAAGGCATTAATGAAGGAAATAATCAAAATGAAGCAGGTTTACCAAAACTAACTGCCTTGTGATACATTTAATGAACTCAACGTCAACATCTTGTTCTTAAGATAAACAGTGTATGTGGTTAGAACTGCTGACATTAATTTACAACCTTCTGGTTTTGAAGAAGCCATTTAGATATTGTTAAGAATAGCTAAAGCATGAAGATTGTGCTTCAGGTTGCAGGTAAATAGTTTTGGTTCCCATGCTGTAATTAGTAACCAATAATTGTGATTCTTGTGTTCCATGAGAAAAGAACAACTGTACTTGAAACTTTTTACCTCAGTTTTAAAACTCCCTTTTGAAACTCCCTTTTAATATGCCTTTGCTTGTACTAGACTTCAGAGAACTTTCCACTCTACAGGCTTGTGTTTCCCAGGTTAATCCTTAAGGTTGGCTTTCAACAAACCTTTATAAAAGTATTTCTGTCTAAACAGCCTTGATTTCAACCACAGTGTCAACCCCAGTTCAAACAACTGTGGCTGTGGCTGGCTGGTTAGCTCAGTTGGCTAGAGCAGGTGTTATAATACCAGAGTCAAGGGGTCAGATGCCTATACTGGCCAGCCACCAAAAAAAAAAAAAAAACATAAAACCATCTGTGGCCAGAGAGAGTCACATGGAACTAAATATGGCCACCTAGAGTTGCCACCCCTGAGAACCAGACCCACCACTGCTGAGGCCCCGTCAGAGTGACAGGCAGCTATGCCATCAGGAACATTCCCTGCCACTGCTGCAGACACCAGTGTGGAATGAGTGGGTCATAACAGCCACCACTACAGCAACTGCTGCCACAAAGACGGCTCACTGCCACACCACCAGCCTGTGCTACCTCATAGGTTATCTGCTGACCACTCATTGACATAGACAGAAGGAGAGTCACCAGCAGAGTGCAGAGAAAGAGGAAAGAAAAAAAGAGAAAACTCACCCAGAGTCACCCATTCAAATCAAGGAGCACTAGTAAACCCCAGTGC